ACTTAATGGAAAACAAGAGCGGAGTAACTTTGCTCCATTACAGGGAGAAAGTAAATTGTATTGTTAAGAAAGCGTTTCTATTTTATGTGAGATCTACCCCAAGTGTATGTATAAACCAGCAAATTTATATAGTTTTGTACCCATAGTACTGCTCTGGGATGCTCGTAGCTCTTGAATCACTGCAGAGTTCCACTGACATCAAACAGACACAGGGCTGCACTCGGTCTGTGCTCTCCCTATAGTCGTTTGAAAACAGCAACAGCTTTACCACACAAATCAACAGAGCATAAAGCAAGATTATATTACATTTCCAGTCAAAAATTACTTATTTTTATTTCAATGATGGATAGATCTTGTACTTTCTGCTCTTTTTTTGTTCACTAGGGTAACAGCAGATTTGACTCCATTGAAGTCTGTTCAGCCGGTCTGGATTTACATTGGTAAATTTTTGAGAAGAGTTTGTCCCTGAGCAACAACATTCTTATTTTTGTTTTCCAACACAGCATCAACCATAATACATAAGGATGAGTGAATCAAAATCGGAAATAAAAACTAATAATGACAAAACATATTAACAGAAAACTCTCAAGTTCCTCTGCATTCAGAAAAGCAGTGCACACTTATTATCAAAACATGAATAATTAATTCCTGGTTCTCGAGTTCTTCTTTAGAAAGAAATTATATGGAATATTATATGTAGGCCTTTCTCAACTAATGCTGTGGGTTTGTTCCTAATGTTACACTTCAACAAGAAGTGAAAAAAATCTGTATCAAGTCCTGATTTTCCACTCCATATCCCATTCTGATTCACATTCACTGCCATTATAATGCATGTTAAACCCTGCACAACAGGGAATGTTTAATCTAAATGCAATCCTGTTCCTGCTCTTCTCCTTTGCCATGAAGATTTTTATGAGGCTTTGTAAACCATTTTAACTACAAAATATAAATTTGGAAGTTAAACTACCTAAAGATATCTTTGCAACTTTCAGTTATAAAACTAACCTAACCAAATGAAATGGTAGATGGATTGGTGGCTTTGCTTCTTCTAAGGAAAAATTAACTTTTCTTTCCTCTGAAAAATTGTTGTTGAAAATGACTAATAAGAAGACAGCAGAATCAACGCAAATGCCCCTAACATTATGTAATTGTTCCTCTAAGCACTCTGGGTTGAAGAACTGAGAATCCAACTGAAAACTAAATTCTGCTTGTGGTAGTAATGGAAAAAAAAGTCACTGATTTTGGAGGGATTATTTGCATAACAGGGGGAAGGAAGATTTTGTTGGACAACAGAAGATGAGAAAAACTTTCTAAAACAGAACAAATTTTTGATGCGGTTAGAAAACATTACTGCATAACTGCATTACAGATTCTCTCTCATCCATACACAAATAATCCATAAGAGAATATCACAGGCACTTAACAAAGTCTAGTTTCAGAAATACAATAGTACCAAACAATTTTATTAATATTTCATACAAATTTTGAAGTCAACACTGACTAGTATTTTGATATTGATGAAGGCAAAGAAGATTAATAAACAATAGGTTTCTGTGTTTTACATTGGACTGGATGTCATAAGTAACTGCCTAAATTATAAACTAACCTAAAATAGTAATGATCAAAACAGGGTAAAGCCAATACATTTTGTTTTCTTTACTTTATTTCAAAATAGAGTGATTATAAATACATTCTTGTCATATTTCCTTCCTAACTCTTTGGATGCAACCAAAAAAAAAAGTCTCACTGTGCTCATTTCATACAATATCAACATACAAATCATGCAAAAGATATTATAGATATTATACCACCATCAAGTTCTGGATGTTTTTTCTTGATTCTGAGACATTTGTTAACATTATTCACAAGGCCATGCCTTTATAATTTATATCATCATTATGGCTTTAAAAAAAAAGCATTTAAAAATATATTTATACTAGATTGTTGCATTATTGTCAATCTTGAACACTAAATGCAAAACATAAATCACCTGTTCTTGTGTTCTTGCACCGCGGTATTTGCTGTCTGATAAAATTGCACAATTGTTTTTCTTTTTCAAGGAAACGAGTACACTTTATTGATTTCATTTAAAAATGGAAACTTCTTTATAATACAATGGAGACAACAGATTATGCCAACACCTTCACTGATTTAGTTTATGTCTATGGGTCTTAACAGCCATTTTACAAGCATGGCCACTCAAACCAATATAATGAACAGACAGACCCGTTAAGCCACACCCAAGAGTCACCTTCTCAGAAAGACTGACCAGAGATTTGAATGGACATCACACTGAAACTGCTGTGCAGACACATACACCGTTTCCAAACATGGAGAAAGTAAACTGACACTAAGGTTGCCATTCAAAGTAACAATTTCACAGAAAAATAGTGTTTTGCCAGCTTCTGCATTCTCCACTCACACTATTATGCCTACATATTGCACCATACATTGTAAAACACTTAGGGACAATTTCTACAGGAGGGTCCAGATTGTGCAACCTTTACTGATGCTGGTGAACCTACACTCAACTGCATAACCCCAGACGAGTCTCTGGGCTCTATGGATTATATACAATGGTTCTGAGCTGGCTTGTTCTGAAGTCAATGACAAAACTCTAGCTAAGCCCCACTCTTGGGCAGGTATCTAATTATTATCTCATGAATAGTACCTCTGCACATGATTTAGGTTGAGGTGAAATGCTTTACTGGAATTGGGGCCTCAGTGATCAGAAAACTCTGACCCAGTGTAATGGTACAGCATAACGGTTCAGTTCTTTTGATCAGCAAACAGAAGACGCCACTCTAAAAACCAAAAAACCTCAAACAAATTAAAAAAAAAAACAACAACAAACCAAACCAAAAACCCAGAAAGAACACCCCCAGAAAACCTCACAGCACAAAATGAAACAAAAAAAGCCTCATTTTTTTTAGCTTAAGAAGGTATGATCATTTATCTCTATTCTTCTGACTCAGGGCAACACAAGTCACAAGCACATCAGTTTTACCATCCCTTAGAAGTAATTCCTTACTTGCAATTTTTAATATTTTTAGCACATTGCTCTCAGGAGGATCATACAGGACATGCCAGTGTGTCAGACACCTTCTGCTTTGGCAAACCCCAGTGAACTTGGACCCATCCTCGAGGCCACAGAGCTCTGTGGAGAGCAGACCAGGACCTGCCACCCTCAGCCTACTGAAGGAGACAGCAGAGTCCACCTGGTCAGTGCACCATGGACACCCCTTAATCCACAGACAATCAATAAACTCACATGTTCCCATCCAAACCATGCACTATTGCATCATTGGCCAACCAGGAGCTTTTTATGCCAGAGCTGCATGTGTACGCAGTATCCATGTCCTCAAAATCCCCATGACATTCTGAATCAAGTTAATTATTGTGCATGGATAGAGGCAGCTTTTTAAAGAAACTCAGCCATTAATTCATCTCTTGCAATTTTATTATCTGAAGTCATGTATATACTATGCATTATGGAGAAAAATAATAAAACCAGTCTCTTTCTAAGACGAAAGAGCAGAAACAAATGTCTGAAAGTAGAGAAGTAGAGAAATGTTTTGTTTGCTTTTCCCTTAAATAAAGAAGCAGTGCTTTTTTTTTTTTTTTTTTTTTGGTCTATTTTGATAAAAATATACTGCAGGCTGTTTGCCAAGTATCATTCCAGAATAAAAATTTCAACTCAGTGTCACAAAGCCCTGAAATTAGAGGTTTATATTGGAAATAGCTGACACAGCCTTCTTCACAGTATTATTATTGAGTCTTGCTCTAATTTTTGCTAGCTTCAAATTCATGAAAAACATTGATGTTTATATCCTACTATCTTAATTGACTAATGTATTGATTATAAAAGGTAAGGAGGGGTAAAGGTTCTGAAAGCAAAGGAGATAAGAGGGTCTTATCCAAAGCCCATCGAGTTAACAAAATTTTGTTAATCTCGTCATATAGATTTGCTCTAGGACGCTTTGCCAATGTATCTCCATTCTCATGTCAAAGTACCATCTATCAGTGAGATACAACAGGGATTTTCCATTCTCCTACCTTTTTTCTAGGATGTTTTACCAATATATCCCCATTCTCATGTCAAAGTACCATCTATCAGTGAGATACAATGGGGATTTTCCATTCTCCTACCTTTTTTCCTGGCTATTCAGATTCAGCTTTCACAAAGGCAAGCTTTTACTCTCTAGTGAGCTACACAGTCCTCTGAACTGAGACCACTATATCCATTTTGCACTGTGGTTTTGAACAGGATTTGCCATATTGTTCACTGCTTTGATCACGTTTTGCTGACTAAAAGCAGCCAGAGAGATAAGAACAGAAAATTTCTGCATGTGCAATAAAAATATTCCCCTTCGCATGAATTCCTGTAAATGCTTGTGAAAAGTATTCAGATTAAGCTGTAGAGACCTGAAAAGCAAGAAAATTGATGGCAAGTAACAGCCTGGGACACAATACTAAAAAACTAATCAATCTATTTCAAAATGCACCATTGGTAACAGATCTGAAATAAGGTAATATGCTAATCTCACGAGAATAGTACAGAACAATTTTATTATTATTATCATTATTATTATTATTATCATCATTATTATCTGATCACTTAATTCTGGATGATGCTATACATTACATCCCCCGTTGCTGTTTGGTATATTGTTCTGGTTTTATTTATACTGAATGATTAATGCATTGTGATCAGGAAAACAAGTCAGGCATATTAAATACATATTAAGGAGTACATATTTTTTTCCTATGTAGTATACAAAGTATTTCATAAATATGAATTATATTACAAAAATAATTTCTGCTACGCTCACACAGTAAGCACTTTGACAATTTTGGACAACCTGTTGGGGTTGCAAGAGTTTCACATAACTGAGAAGGAACTCTAGTTTTAATTGGAGATGAGTCTTAGAACAGATTCTGCATAAATATCAAATATTTTCTTCAGATGTCACGAATACTGCAGAAGTCAGGTTGAACTATTTTCTTTCTTTCTTTTTTTTTTTTAAATTTTCTGTATAGACATGTATGCTTCAAGTGGTCAGATTTATTTCATAGGTATGTAATGCATGGTATATTTTAAACACAATTTATCATTATAATTCCAGTGGTTTCAAGATGCAGCCCATAAATGTAACCAATTTACACATACTATTGAATGTTCTCTCTTTGCATGCTTGTTACTTTCCAGGTAAGCTTTAAACAGTGCCATTAGAACACCACAAATCAAAGGATTACTCCAGTTCCACCAACTTAAATCCACGTGCAGGATGAAGGACCCAACTGAAGTACAAATATCAGTACCAGGTTTCTTGTGTTTGTACTAACAAATCACAAGGAGACGATGGTTTGCATTTGAGATACAAAACATATATGCCTCTTGAGGTTAAATTCAGTGTAACGTGTATAAAGCATCCCTTTGGCAATAGAGTTTGCAGTATCCCTACAGGATTCCACAGGGCATGAGCTTTATGGAATAAAATCTACTAAGGAAATTCTCCTTACTTGACAAATCATACGCAGCTACAGTTAATCAGACACCCTTGGATACACCTGCCTCTATGCCTATCAATATAATATAGTATTTGGAAGTTAAAAGTCAACAAAAGGCACTTTCATCATTAAATAAATGTCCTCTGTAGGCAATAAGATTGTATGACCTATATTTTATTCAAAGCTGTTTGTTCTTCAAGGACTTGTAGGTAGTCAGGTGAACCTTGAAGTTTAGCTTTTAGTTCAAAATATTCACTTTTTCTTTGTTCTACTACAATTTTACTATGATTACCACCTATTAGAGATTTCTTGGCTTTTTTGTCTTGCAGTTTCTCTGGGTAACGTATTTCAAAGCCACTGACCCCTATGCTGTTGTATTCCTTTTTACTTTCAAGAAAATTTTGAATAAATACATTGGAATCCCTTCCAGGGAATAACTCATCCAGTTCATCGATTGTGCTAAGTCTTTTTCTGGAATCCACATGCAATAAATCTTTCTCCTTGTCGTTCATATTTCTCAGAATGACTTTTTGCCCTGGTGGGTCAGCAAACGTGAAGCCTGTTTCAGACTCTTTCAAGCCACAGGTATGAGTTTTGCTCATCTGCTCAATGGTCTGAGGAATGAAGGCCTCTGCACCCAGTCCATCTTTTTTGTTTGACTTGTGATCGTGCTTTCTTAGCTGCAGTTGCATAGAACTGCACTCTTGGTTTCCAATCCCTTCATGCTTTATGGTTGGTTTTTTGTTGCGCCGAAGCACAAAAACAAGAAGACAAAAAGCAACAAACACCGTTAAAATCAGCACAACCAATATGCTCAGGATTAGGATGGACAATGGAACTGGGCCACCAGGAGGGCTCCGGACTGGTCCCGGGGGTGTTGTAAAAATAACAGCAGGCATGGGACTAGTGAACAGAGCAGATGGCTTGTTTAAAAGTTTAGGACAGAGAATCTCATTTTTCAGAGACTTAAGTTCTATGTTAGCAAACTGCACAGGTGTCTCACATTTCAATTCCTTCACCACAATACCGTCATTTAGCTTCTCAAGCCAGAGTTTTAAAGCAACTAAATCACAAGTGCAGTCCCACGGATTACCTTCCAAATCTATTTGTGTAAGAGACTTTAGCTGATCAAGAACACCACTTACAGGTAAATACATGAAGTGATTGTTCCTCAGATTCAGTCTAGCAAGTGGTGCACCAGCAAAAATATAGGCTGGCAAACTTCGTAGAAGATTGTTGTTCAGGTAGAGCAACTGCAAATTTGGCATTAAGTCAAAGGTGCCTGCTAGGATTTCTTTGATAACATTGTATTCCAAATACAGATATTGCAAATTGTGGAGGCCAGCAAACATCTCTGGGCTCAGACGCTCTATCTGATTGCCATTGAGGTACAATCTCCGTAAATTTGTAAGGTTGCGGAAAACATCTCCTTTGATCACTGAAATCCGATTGCTGCCCAAATGTAGCAAATCCAGCCCCTCAAACTCAGCAAAATCTGTAGTATCCACATCCTTAATATAATTGCCATTTACATGCAGTTTCTTGGCATTTAAAGGTTTGGGTACGAGTTCAGCCATCGATTCTATATTTCTTTCTTGGCAATTTACGCTTAATCCCAAGTCTGAAGGATGAGTTTTGCAAACACAAGGGAGCGGACAAGGAGTTAAAGGAGGCACCCTGGTCTGGTAAGATACGATCTGACTGAGATTGCGACTGGACAGAGCTTTGCCTGCTACTATCCCCGAGATCTTGGAAGGATTTGTAGTCTTTGGTGCCTTTGTGACTAATCTGTGCACTGATGTTTGAGTGGTGTGGCCGTTGGGCGTGCTGTAGCCGGGCTCCAGCTGCGAGGGAGGCAGGATGCGCACGTCAAAATCACTCCCCGTCCCCATGGAGCACAGCTCCTGCTTATTGGTCTCTTTCAGCAGCCTTCCGTACAAGTCGCTGGGTGTTTCACAGATAGCCTCTCCAATGTAGATGTTGTAGGGCATGTTCTCCAGCCACGCTTTCAAAGGCAACAAATCACAAGTACAATTCCAGGGGTTGTCTTCCAGCTGCAGTTCAACAATTCGCCCGATGTGTTCCAGAACTCCAATGTATGGCAGCTTCTGTATTCGATTCCCCCGTATATCCAGATGGGTTAGAGAAGCAAATCGAAAAATATTATCGGGAAGGAATGAAATCAGATTGTCATTAAGTATCAGGACTTTCAGCTTGTGAAGCTTATTGAAGGCTCCCCGTTCAATAAACTTGATTAAATTGTAGTCAGCTTGGAGATATTCCAAGTTCTCTATGCCAAGGAAAGTGTCAGCCCGGAGAATCTTTAATTCGTTGTTGTTCAAGTGCAACTGTTTTAATGCACTAAGACCCATAAAGGCCCCTCCCTCAATGTTCTGCAACTTATTATTACCCAGTTGCAAGGACACTGCATGTGTAAAATTAAGAAAGGAATTTGGATATAGAATAATTAGCAGGTTGTTTTGAAAGTTGAGGTGGTAAAAATTAGACCATGGTGGTTTAAGCTGATTTGGTCTGTAGACTGCAACCTTCTCACAGTTGACATAAAGTACATTCTCAACTGATACACAGGAGCAAACATTGCAAATTTCCACAGATATATCAGCATCTGCAGTTGTAGAAGAAACTGGAGATGACAGAACCAGAAAGAGCCACAGAATCATCTTCTTATGATCAACAAGCAACCTTAGGCTCCTGAACAAAGATAAAGAATCTAAAGAAGAAAGAAGGAAAGAAAAAGAAAATTTTTTTCAGTTGACATTGTTCCAAAACGTCACTTGGGTTAGAAATTGTATACCACTGAGCTACTGTACCTGCCAAGTATTATAGATAAACTACAAGAACTGCATTTAAAATAACATGAAAGACTTTAACAAAAAAACAAGTGCACAGGAGCTGGGATGATTTCAAACACAGAATGTAAATTTCTGTAGAGAAACAAAAATAACTCTCAGGTCTGTCAAATGTATTTCTCTCTCTTGTACATGCCAAGCATGCATAACTAATAAAGTAAAATAACCAAAGGAGATTCCAATTTTATGCATATTTACTCCCCTCAATTGTGCACTGCTCATATGTTGCTGTGCATTTCAGGGATATTAAACACAAATGCTGATGTTATGCATGCCCAAACATCTGGGATGGGATAGCACAATACAGAAAGGATGGAGATGCTGACACAAAAAGCAATGCCAATGCTCAGTATATGTATATAAAGCAACAGCACATACAAATGTATCACTATGATAAAGATATTCACTCAAGGGCTACACAGGCATGCAAACACATTGTTTCTGTCACTTCTGATATCTAGTTTAAATAAGTAGGTGATAAACTGACTGCAGAAATACAACTATTCACAAAACAAGATCAGCTCTGGGTGACCAATGGAAGCACTCAGACATGGAAGAAGCATGCACAAGCACACAGCCCCATCCCCAGGAATAACAATACACTGACTTGCAGGGAAAAACTAAGTCACAATTTGCCAGTCTGAAACTATTGAAATCTGAGAACTATTTTTCCAGCTAAAACATTATGTAATTTGCTCTTATTCCTGCATTGATAAGAACCCTTTGCATATAGTCCAGCCAGCTGAACTGCCATTTTTTACGCAGAAGAACTCGAGCCACAGCATTTCCTCTGAGTTATAAGGTAGGGATCCCCCCCCCCCCCGTTTTTTTCTAATAAATCAGTCAATAATCAATACATTGCACACACACACATTCCATCTTCCCATTACCCCCATTTCCCAACTTGTCCCTTTCATTTCGTGCTGTAGGAAGCCACTGAGTTGGCAGGAGAGAGCCAGAATGAAAAGTGGAGAAAGCAGGAGCCAGCTGGAGGGAGGAGAACCAGGCTGGAGGGAGACACAAGGGGAGGATGCGCCGGGGGTCCTGGAAGGGAGGGGAGAGGAGGGATGAGGAGAAACCGCAGGACAGAAGGACAAGAGGGAGAGGAAAAGCACAGAGGAGAGAGGATAGGATGAGAGGAACGGATGGCCGAAGGAAGGGGTCAAGGAGGCCGCTCGCCGGGAGAAGGGGAAGCGGAGCAGCGCTGCCGATGCCCGCAGGCTGCCGACCCCGGCCGCGGCGAGCGCGCCCCCAGGGGCGGACCGGTGTCCCCGCGCCCCCGCCGCTCCGTCTCCCTCCCCTGGAGCCGCCGTGCTCCCGTGTCCCTGCCTCGCCCACGCTCGAGTCCCTCTTCTTCCTCAGTCCCGGGGCCCCGGCCGGCGCGGAGCGGGCGGGCTGCGGGCGCTGCGCGGGGCTGGCGGCGGGGCGGCGAGCCCGGCCAGCACTGCCGGCACTACCGCAATTTTTTGCCGCATCCGGCTCGGCCGGTGCCGGCTCCCCTCTGCCGTGGGCGCCCCGTCGCCCTCCGTCTCCCGGCGGGGGAGGGCGGCAGGGGCACGGGCGCGCTCGCACATCCCGGCCGGGCGCGGGCAGAGCGCGGCGGAGCAGCCCCGCATCCCCTCCGCCGTCCCTTCGCAACCTCCGAGGCACGGTCGCGCTCCCCGCCGCGGAACGCACCGGCCCCCCCGCCCCGGTACCTTTGCAAAGTCCAGCCCGCAGCGGATCCACACACACCCCCTTCCCCAGCCCCACTGCGCAGATCCTGTCCCCCCGTCCCTCCCACACCTCCTCCGGCTTTTCCGGGCCCCCCGGCCCCGGTGCCTCCGCTCGCCCGCTCTCCCGGGAAGGATGGGAGAGGGCAGCGCTGCGCCTGGTGCCGCCGGCCGGGGCTCCGGGAGAGGCGAGCGCGATGGCAGAGAGGCTCCGGCAGGAAGCCACTGTCGCCTCGTCGTGTGCACCCCCGCCTCCCCCCACCCCACCCCTCGCCGTCTTTAAACCAGCACCGCTAATTCTTATAGCAATGAAAACAGAACCTTCGGAATAATTAAAAGAAATGAAAACGCCAACGTACGGGCGGCCCCGCCGTGCCCCCACCCCCGCCCGCACTCACACGCCCGGCGGGCGCCCGCCGCCCTCGGCGATGCTCCCGGCTCTCCGCGGCCAGCCCGGCACCGTCCCTACCTCGGCGCCCGGGGTCGCCGCGGCTCCGCTGGGCTGCGCTCCGCCGCTCTCCCCGCCAGCTCCGGGCTCCGGCGGCTCCGCGGGCGGCGGGGGCAGCCGGGGCGCCCGCCGGGGCCAGCACCCCCGGCCGCGCGGAGCGAGGGCAAGCCCGGCGCTGCGGAACCCCGCGGGCTCCGCCGCATGCAGCAGCAGCCGCCCGGCTGAGCCCTGCCCCGCCGCCGCCGCGGTCCCCCGCACACATGCGGGGAGAGGATCCCTCTGCACACGGGCGCCCGCTCCCATCGCACTGCTCTCGCCCACCCCCTGCACGCAGCGAGCCCCCTCCCCTCGCCACACGCACACCCGCACACACACGCACACACACACAGACACACACACGCACACACTGACAAACACACACATGCACGCACGCACCGAGCGCTGCTCCGCCGGGGAGGGAGACGCCGCTCCGGGGCAGCGATCCCGGCGCATCGCCGCGGCCGGAGGCTCTCCCGCAGCCCGGAGGCGCCCTGCCGCCGGTGCCTTTCCCGCGGAGCCGTCGCGCTGCGCCCCCGCGGAGCCCGGGCGGGGCGTGCGGGGCGGGAGGAGCCCCCCGGGGCGGCGGGAGCCCAGGCGGGGCCGCGGCGGGGCTGCCATGGGCGGGCGAGGCAGCCACAAGTGCGGCCCGCGGCCGGGACGGGGCCGGCGGAGCCGCAGGGCAGCGCGGCTGCGAGAGCCGAGCGGGGGAAGGAGAGAGAGGAGGCAAGGAAGGACTCCCCCCTCTCTTTTCTGGTGATCTCCCCTCCCGGCTTGAAACAAAAGTAGAGGTGGAAACTGAGTGGGCAGCATGGTAACATTTGCTGCATTTAATGTGAATTGCAATTATGGAGCGAAATCGCTGCGAGGAGACATACCCGAGCCATTCTTACGACAACGCAGCTATTTGTCTATCTCATTCTTTGTGGTTAGGTGAAATTCCTTCTCTGCGTAGGTAACAGCTGCAGTCTGATGGAAAAAATCCTCAAATGTTATGCACCGGTGCTAAACAGATTCTTCTAATTAACAACTCTTATTGACTCTAGCTTTCATAATACACTTTAAAATGGTAATGAATACCCTCGAACAAGGTGACATCGCATTCCGAAGCAGAAGAGTCAGTTAAATGAAATCTTGCAAGGGGAGTTCAACTGCTTGTCCTTTACCACGAATGCTAACATGATCCAGTTAGAAAACTGTTTATGTGCTGTACACATACCGGCTGTGAGTGCTAGTTCTGGGCAATAAACGCCAGGGAATGGAAAACAGCAACTGCTTTCTTCATTTACTGAAATGAAATAAATAGCTTGCTCCAAAGGCTGACTGCATCTAATTGAAATAATTGCAGAATGTTATTTTGCATTATGCGGTTAGACTGATACCTGAAAACAAATGCAGCTGAGACATCAATAATTTGCATATCACAACAGAACTGAAAGCGATCTGTGATTAATATTCAGCCAATTAAAAACTGAAGTCTTTAAAATGTAAACTCTCTTAATTATTGAGCCATTAACAAAGTACTGTTCACATAAAAGGGGATGTGTGTATATAAAGGGCCCAGTTTAGAGGGATTTGCATATAGTTTAAGCTGAATTTTTCAAACACTTTTAAAATAAACTAATGAATTGGAGAGCAAAGGTCTAGAATAAAATTCATTTAGGAAGATAGCTGGTTTATAACTATTTTAGCAGCAGGCACAGAAATGCAGGTGTAAAGATCAAGATGCCAGTTTTGTTTAATCAGCAACCTTATCTGGATGCTAAACTAATTCCTTGCTTATTTAGTAGGTGAAAGAGCATATTGGCAGTTTCAAAGAGATCACTGCTCCCACCACATTCAAACAACTACTCAGAGACTGAATTAAACATCAAACAAGAAGCATAATAAAATACTGTATTTTAACCAAGTAAACTGTGAAATGAATAAGTATTTGAGAACTGAAATTACACTCTAAGTAAATAATTCTTGATGTTTCTGTTATGAGTGGCTATTACCAATGGTGTATGTTTATGGTGCTGTAGAACTTCTCCAAATCTTAAGTGATTTCTAAGCTACTTGCCCTAGCCTACATCATGTCAAACTCACTAATATTTAGGCTTACATGTCAGGACCCCAGTCCAAAGCAAACTGAGGGGAATTTTAAAGTATGACATAAGCACAAGCTAAGGTCAAGACTGGGATCCAAGCTGATGATGTGCTTCAGGAATAAAACACTTTAAAGGGTTACATCCTAGAATCACTTGGTTGCACCCATTTTCTGAGATCCAGTTTGAGGTTCTATCACTATCAGGAGACATTTTCTGTTTAGGCTGATGGGAGATAGTAATTGGAAGACAGCAGAGCCAGACAGGGCACGTTGGAGTACCTGGCCTGGTTCCCTGAAGTTTACAAGATTACTTCAGGCTACCCACCATGCCCATTTAATGTCATCTCTAACCTTTTCTAAAATTTTCTACTGTGATGGAACCTCATTCATCTCCTTTGATTTTTCCTCCTGTCTGTTGTTTGCCACAGCAGCATGTATTTTTTTCCTTCTTCAGCTTAGCAAGAGGAGAGCAAAAGCTAACGGGCAGACAGATTCATAACAAGGTTTTCTGCAGAGAGAAGTAGCTGAAGAAAAGGTAGAAATGTGACAAATACTACTTCCCACCCAAACAGACACACTCAGGGCAGCATTCAGTATCATATCAACAATTAGCTTGTTGATAATGCCTAAGCAGAAGGTCTTGGGAGAGAAAGATACTATTTTACTCCTGGCTACTGGCATTCATCATTAAATCTGTTCAGAAATTACAGAAGCCTGTTTATATTTTGTTTCCTTTCACATTTTTGTGAGACCTAAGCAACACTTTTCTTTTAAACACACAGACATGCTTGGTCACCTACCTCTCCCAGTTTAATTCTGGGCTGATGCAGGAACTTGAGACTGAAACTGAGCTTTATGTGCGTCCAAAGTCTGTCAGGAGAAAAAGCTTCTTGTAACAGAGTCATCAAAATGCAGAGGCCAGTTGAGATGCTGAGACTACTGCTCACAGCAGGAAACCTTGGAGAGCATTTTCCTCAAGCTGCTTGGCACACATGCAAATGGGGCTGCAGCTGAAGGCGAGGACAGTTCTGTGCAATAACTTGCTTTGTTTTCTCATCCACAGTCATTTTCTGAGTGAGGAATGAAGTGACAGGAAACAGGAGCTGAACATCCTACTCATTCCTGAGCACTTACAAGTACAATTTAAGATGCAGTACCTGCAATCAGGCTGTGTGTGTGCACAGAAGTGGCAGAGAAGAGGTGCCTTCCATACATCTGCCATCATCCTACTCCTACGTTACCTATGGATTTGTGTGCATCCTAAACACTTTCTCCACAGGCACTGCCTTGCACTTTTCTGCTATCTCTCCAGTCTGTCTGTTGTCATCCTGAAAATCAAATAAGGATTAGTTGTCAGCAGTGAGAACTAACCAAAGATGCCTATGACCCACACACCCCTGGCTCTTGAAATCAGAAGGCCAAAACAAGGAATTGCAATTGATGTGAGCAGCAGAGGAACACTCTTTCCTTGGTCATGTCCACTGGCCAGCAGTGAGCAAGCGTTGTGTATCCAGATGGCAAAAACACACCTGGGAGAGAAGCAGTGGGCACACATATATATTTGGGTTGTTCTGCTTGAAAAGATTCATGCCAGGAGTAGAAATTCTTATAAAAGATCTCCGGAAATTAATGTGGATCCATTTGGATCAGACTCTAATGTTATGTTAACACTACATGCTACAACTTCCTTTTCCCGAAGAATGGTAAAAATAGCCCAAGAGTTAATATTTTGGCCCTTCACACAGTGCCCATGTAAAGAATAAACTGTTTTGTTTGAACATATGGGAAGCTGGTTAACAATTCTTTGAATAGGAAAGCAAAGGTTTGTATGGGCTCTGTCTGTTGCTGGGGTTTCTGTGGTTAAGCAATTTCAGTTTAACAGGTCTACAACAAGTTTCTGCTTTCATATAGATCAGTAACAACAGCCATACTCAGCCAACAACATCCAACAAAGCAGAGTACAGAAATGACTGTGCAGTCTTCTAATGAGGCTTCAACTAACAGGTCATAGCCTTTTAAGGAGGAGAGAAATCCCCAAAATCAACCAATAACTCCACCCAATGTCCACACCTTGTCTGTATTTTGCCAGAATGTCAGTTAAAAGCAGGGAGGAAGGGCATCCTTGAGAACTCTGTATGTCCTGGAGTGAGTCCCAGCATGAACATCCTTTTAAAGACACAGTGGGATAGGAGACAGTGCAAATCTGCAGCAGACCAAGGCAGAAGCACTGTGAGAGAGCACTGTGCTAAATAAAGTGGAAAAAACTTTCAGAATTATGTCTCTGCCTGTCTCTGTATTATTTCCACCTCACTTCCTCCATTTTATCCAGGACCCCTCCTCAATATGCAACAAGTAACCCATCACCTGCATCCAGGAAACCTGAGGAGTCACTGCAGTGCCTTCCACAGGGATTGCTGGGGGTTTTAATTCCATCATTTGCTATTCATTTGCAATAAGTTTGAGTGCTTGATCAAGGTCATGGTGCTGGTAATGGGTTTTCTCACCAGTTCTCTTTGTAAACTCAGCCCTTGGGGCTGTCCAGCTCCATAACCCTATGCTTGCCATATTTCCATAACTGCAGAGCTGTCAGAGCACAGTGGGCATTTAATTTCACTAAGTTCCAAAATGTCCTGTGCCTTACTTATTTTTCCTTCTCTGTGATCATCTACCCAGGGGTTGTTCACCCTCCAGCTCACTGTCAGAATCTAAAACCAAGCTTGGCCTATTCTCTTGACTCCTTTTGGAACAGCCAAAATTGTGAAATCAGGAGACAGAGAAAATTTAGGAAAATAATTGGTAAAGAACTTATGGGGAATATTTTTCTATAAGGTTTTATGATATAAGGTTAAATGCAAAACCTACAAGCAACTGCTCTTTTCCCACCCACCTCATGTGGAAACTGCTCACTAAATGATTTCTCAAGATGAGAGATATATTTAAAATAAGGATCCTGTGCTAGAAAGCTCTGACATTATTGAATACACCAAATCATGAAATAACAGTTCATTCTCCCTGAGCAGACAGCCTATTAACCAAATAAAAGAACTGCAGAGAAAATTTAAAGAACCCTGACTGTGGTTGGAGATGTTAGAGGATAAGAAGGGGAGAAAATGTATGGTGTTGCAAGACTTGTTTCTTTCTTTGCTGCTGATAACTTTGTCTTCAGCAGTGGAGCAAGGGAAATCTTTTATGCCATGAATATCATGCCTGCTGTGCTTGCAGTCAGAATTGGGTGGGTTGAGATCACTTGACATTAACAGAATATGAATTTAGAACATTCTAATTTAAATCCTCACTCCTCCATGTTTTTCTCACACATGAGGCTGTTTCCTGTCACCTCCTGGAATTCCACAGACCTAAATGGGGCTTCTCACGTGTGAAAAGGTTGATGG